ACAATCCAGAGGTGACAACTAGGCAAAGTATATTGCTCATGTGGATCAGAGCTTATGAAATGAGGCAATCCTTACAGTGAGCTCAGATAACACATCTGAGGAGATATACAGTATTTATGTTGTTTCATTACAGCATTAAAACATACAAAACATACTTTTTAATCTTAACATTTGAAAATATAAAAACTCCCAAGAACAGTCTTTAAAAAGAATGCTAATGTTGGTTCTTGCCACATGTGCAGTTAGAATGCAGGCACCACTGTCCTCTCTTTCTTACTATACTAACTCCCAAAGCAAAATGTAAATGAACAAGTAATATCTAATGAGCAATGGAGACTAGAAAGGCAGGGAAGAAAAAGAAACTCTTGCCCTCTCTTTCTTTCAGAACTAAGAGAAAGAAAGAAAACAGGAAGAAATTTACATTTTAGAAATAAAAGTAAAGTAAAAAAAAAAAAGCAAAAATCAACCAACCAAAAAAAAAAAAAAAACAAAAACCAATACCACCACAACACAACAAAATCCAAAACCCAGAATGACCAGCAGCCACAACCTCATCACTGTTACTTCCCAATCACTTAAGCGAGTTTTATCTCAATCTTCAGTTACTATGTCACACAAAAAAGACCTCTTGTTGTATTGCGTTATTTTATTGTTATTAGATGGTTTGTTCCATTGTTTGTACCTCCCCCCCCCCCGTTATAATTCAGTTGCCCTAATTCCTGCCTTCCCTTGATCAATCAACCCAAGTCCCAACCCACCTTCCAGAACCTTCCCTGTCCCTCACTCTAGTCCCTGTCCCGGAGATTGTCAATCCCTCCTAGCCCCTCCTATCCTTCTAGTATCTTCTGTATCAGTCATCCCCTTCTTAGCACATGATGTGATGTTACATGTATTTCCCCGCCTATGTTTCCCCTATTGGTTGTGTGTATAATCAGCCCCGCCTTATGTTACACCCCAAACTGCAGCCATTGGTTCTGTATTGTACCCGCCCTTGGGGGAGGGCCCCTATTTAAGTTGCTGCACGCCTGTGTTCCCTGCCTTCTGTGGTTCCCTTCCCTCGTTCCCAGTTGTCCTCCCTCCCTCCCTCAATAAATCCTGCATTCCCGGAACCTCAGAAGGACTCTGTCTCGATCCTTTGCTCCTCCCCGGACGCGTGTACGGCCGTTCGGGTTCAGAGCCCTTCCCACATTCCGGGTTCCCCTGAATCCTGGCAGTGCGCCACTCTCGGCGCTGCGCTCGCCTTCAGCAGCCAGCTGGGCGAGTCGGTGCAGGCTGGAGAAGGCGGGCCGCGTCAACCTCTGTCTGCCTCTCATAACTACATCCAACACCAACCATTCTTAAATACAAATATTTTTACACTTCAACTCAGAAACTAGTGTTTGGTTTATCTTCTATACCCACCTCATAGCTCCTACCGCCACACTCTGAAACCTCATCTGTGTATCAAATCCAACAAATTCCCTTTAGCATGAGCACACACGACCATAGCAGTCTCTTAGAAAAAGCAAACCCTGACAAAGCAAGAAGAAACACTGAGCAAGGAGGCAGACTGAGTGAATAGCACTGCACCTGTTGTGCACGTTGCAACACAAAAGCAAAACTCCATATGTGGCATCCAAATCCTAGTTCAGCCAAAGGACTCCCCAATTAAGTGTTCTTAATTATTCCTTCTGGTTACCAACCACCTGTGCAGCCAGCTGGTGGAACCTGGATAGGTTTATCACATACCACACAGGCAATTCTAGTTACCCCAGGGTACTGTTTTGAAGACTGTTTCTTGCAAAAACACTTGCAGCATGGCTTAAGAATGCCAAAATGTGTATTTTTTGTGTAAAACCCTTGGAAATCATTGAATTACAACTGCAAAACACATGATGACTGCTGTTAAAAAAATTAGCAGTATAATACAAACATGTCTTTGAATTACAGAAGTGCTTGCTCACTGTCATGGTCTTCTAGCACTGGAAAGATGTATGCTCTCTCTAACCCATTTCTGCCAGTTCTGTCATTTTAAGAGTGCCACCTATTTCTTCAAAATTTACAGGCATGCTACTAAGGAGCAAAAGCCGGGAAGCAGAGGAAAGTTTCAGGTGAATTTGTCCATGATTAACCCATAGTTGGTTTTTTCCACTTTATTTTCCAAATAGTTTATTCACAGAGGATTTAGAATTTCATTATTAGACCATTAATGATTGAAAAAAGCAGCTGCGTTGAAGTTTGGAGTAAATAGTGAGAGGGGTAGTGAGAGAGAGGGAAGGGCAAGAGAAGGAAAAGAGGAGAGAGTGGAGAGAGATGGAGAGAAAAATTCTGGCCATGCAGATGATTAGAGGGATGGCTGAGAATTCGGCTGTTCAGCCTGCAGAAGGCTCCAGGAACTTCTAATTGAGGCCTTCCAGCACTTGAAGGGGGCCAAAAGAAGGATGGGCATTAACATTTTAGCAGAGCTTGTTGAGATAGAACAAGGGTTAATGGTTTTACACTGAAGAAAGGTAGATTTATATTGGATAAAAGGAAGATTTTTACAATGAGGATGGAGAAATACTGACAATGGTGCCCAGGGGTGTCAGATGTCCCATTCCAGGAAACACTGAAGGTCAGACTGGATGGGGAGCCTGATCTGGTTGGAGATGTCCCAGCTCATTGTAGAGGGTTTGCACTCGATGGCCTGTAAAGGTCCTTTCCAACCCAAACTGTTCTATGACCATACTTATTACTGAATACTCACTTGTTTCCATCTGTGCCTCATCTTCAGCCCATTAACTTAAATAACGTGACAATTTAGGAAAATGGTCTAAAGGAAGTGCTGGAGGGCACCAGAAAAAGATCCAGAAATGATCTGGGCTTGTTCAAGCTAAGTTTTGGAGTTTTTTGTTTAATAAAAAGATGCCTGATATAACTACTGCAATATGAGCATTTACCAATACATGTAGAATGGGACTTTTCAGGCTAAACAATATATGCCTATTGGCTTGTTTGTTTGAATGAACAATTTAAAATATTTTTATAAGTTTTAAACTGTTTTAATGAAAAAAAACAAAATAAAGCAGCCAAATAAACCAGAAGAACTTTTCTTAAAGTCTGACAGTTATTCTGTATGTATTTTCTGACACAAATTTGGAGTAAGATTGCTTCTCCAGTACCTGAATTTTCAGCCTAAATAGCTTTCATTTTGCAGAACTGCTCTGCAAAACCTATAATCTTGAAGCAATTTTTAGAGGAACATTTTCAACGGCTGGAATTCAAAAATTATTCAGGAACTCTATTTAAATCTTGCTAGTAAGCAATATATTAGCTAGCTTTCATTTCATTGTTCAGAAGAAAAAAGTTAAAAGAATTAACAACGAATAGAAGTAATTTATTTTCTCAACGTCTATTTTCAGCAACTGAAGAGCCACCCATAAATAAGACTGCATATGCAGGGGAGCAGTTCTAAACAGGTTTTTCAAAGCCATTTTTCCCTTCCTGTATAGAGCTGTTGGTGTAGTGCTGCATGTTTTTGATAGCAAATGGAAACCCAGGCTACTTTAAAAATTTCCATTTTTCAGTCCTTACATAAGAACTCCTGTCTCCAGAACCTCACTTAAAAACTATCTGAAATTAATCTCAAGCATTTTTAGTTTAGCCTCTTCCCATGAAGTAAATCACTTGCCAGGGAATACCTTGTCTGTACATATTACTCCACAAACAAGCAATATGTAGTTAGCAAAACAGCTTAAAGAATGAGCTGCCAGCAATACTAGTTCTTCATGAGACGTGTGGGACAAGAGGAAGTAAATGCCATTAATTTCCGCATAAACACATTCTTTTTAGAAACGGTTTGAGAATTGTCACAACAAAATACAGTAGCCATTTGACTTTTTGAAAGGCTTTTTACTTTTTTTTTTTATAGACATCAGTTAAGGAATTTGCTTCCTTAAGCCCTTAACCAACTTAGTGGCTCAGGAGCAAAAACCAAGCTATTAGAGCATCGAGTGCTCAACTATGCTGGCCTTTTCCTGAAGCCAAAAATAAGTTCTTCTCTCCAAGACCTTGAACTCCACGATGGTTTCTTCTTTACCCCTCAAAATGCTTACCTCAAACATAATTTCTCTTCACAGGGAAAGGCTAGTAAAGCATCAAATATCACATTTGAAAGCTTGAAAGTTTGTCTTGAAATTCTGCTACTGTCTGCTGGGAGGAACATACCATCTTGTAGGAAAGAAAGTAGCTTTTTCCCTGATGCTCCTTGACAGTGGATCCCTGTCTTCATAGTTGAAGTTTCTCTTTAATAGGCAGACATTATATTCATTGGAAGAATACTGCCAAAGGAATGCCAAGTGGTTGAATGCCAAGCCACAAGAAATGCTTCAGTGAACAATTCAAGAATGTAATTTATGAAAAACCAACCACTTATTCAGCAATTACCAAAACAAACCCACAACTTTGTCCAATTATCTCTAAAAATATTTTGTTTTGCTTCTCTATGACAGTTTTAAGTTCTCTGTAACAGTTTTTAGAGCCATATATACATTTGATACCAAAGCACAGCAAAAACAGTATGTGTTTCAATGTGCTGATTATACTACCCTGGAAAACAGCAGAAGTTCAGAGAACTGAAATTCATGCAAATATGCTGGATACAAATGACAAATTCTCCTAAAACATTCATGTGAAAAAAGATTTTTAATTTTCGCACTCAAAATTTTGTTTTTAAAGACAAAGCACCTTTTAGGAATTTTTTTCAAGACCTTTTTGATTAATACACCAACATCAAGAATGTATTAGTCACTTAGGGGTAATTCACAAATATTAAAGACCCCTTTTCAAAATCAAGTTGGTTCCCTCAAAATCAATCAGTTCCTAGGTGAACTCAAAACAAAGGGGGATACTCTGCTCCAGTCTTTTGCATCTCTTCTTTTGTAAGGTTTTTCATTTTTTCACACAGTTCTCATTTTTCCTATTACTTTTTTTCTGATTTACAGTATTAAAACCTGAGTTTTAGTTCTCTCTTTTTCCAGGTCCCCAGTACATCCAGAACATTCCCCGTGTGGCAGTAAATTCCCTTGTCACGCTTTGTTTGAAGGTACACATGTAAATTACGGCGTGTGCCAGGAGGGCGCTAGCGGCGTGTGCTCCTTCTCCTGGATATCCGATGGCCTAAACGCACCAGTCAATCACTACAAACCATGGCTGCTGCCACCAGGCCATCCTGATAGCCTGCTCCTTCCATCTCCAACCCTGACAGCATTCACAGCTGTAGCTGGGGGAAGGAGCACACACAGGGGGATGTGCAGTCACAGACAGGACACTTGTTCCACAGAGGTGGTGATGGAAGCTGCCACACGCTTCTTGCTACCTTTCCTGGTTCATGCAACTCAGCAGGACTTGCAGGCAGACTCATTGACACTCAAGCTGGAAATCTGCCTCAATTACTCCATCTTATCACAGGGAAATCCTCTATTATGGAAAGGTTTACCCATACTGTTTAGGGAACATCTATCCTATTCCTTGCTATGGAAGGTCCCCCCTAGTATTAGTTGTCTCAGCCCCTTCTGGAACAAGCAGAAGCAATTCGTCCTGATGAACAGATCCCAGTAAAAATCTAGAAATTCCATTTCAGAAAAGCCTTTCTTAACCTAAAGCTTTCACTTTCCTTACCGACTTAGCTTAATGTCTTATGCTTAAAGTCTTAAGACTCACACTGAATAGATTTCTTTTGATTCCTTCAGTTTGCTGCATTGCAAGCAGTTACTAAAATGATTTGCAATACAGAACTAAATGTGGGCTACATCAGTGGCACTCAAGATCTGAGGCTGACAGATAAGGAATAATGTTTTCCAAGTAGCTGCTGGCAGTCCTAGAAAGGACCAAGCTTAGCCTACTGTAACACACTGCACATGGATTTTAAAAATTGCCCTAAAATGGAATAGCAGTTTCTTTCAGGCACTCCCAGAAACCAACTCCAGAAGGTGTACTTGAGGTCTACACAAAATAAATAGCTATCACAGTACTTAAAAAGCCCAAACACAGGAATACTATCTTCTGGTTTAAAAATATTTATTTAAAAGAAAAGGAATCTAGATTTAGATGGCCAGGAAAAAAAAAAATCCTCAGTTTTTCCCCCTTAAGACCATTACTTTGCAATTTACCTTTCCCTTAAGTTTCAGCTGCTTTATTTAAAAAAACCCCAAACCCCTGAATTTTCATTTCCTTTTCCTATAGTACTAGCCTGAGGAAATTAAGTTCCTTTCAGTGAAAAGTTGCATGGGATGCAAGAAGAAACTGCAATAAAATGTATCCACAATATACAAGTATAAAAATATTTTGCTTATGATTCAGTACTATAATTTAATAACTTTTTGTTGTTTCATAGGTATCTGGGAAAGGTACAGACACATGTCCTGATCCTGTTACAAGAGGTAGAATGCCAGCATTTGGTACAACATTCCAGGAGAGAGTCAAGGTGATATTCCTGTTTCCCCTGCAAAAAAGCAACAAAGACTGTCAGCACAAATAGTCAAGCTAACCGATTTAATTAACAGTTACTAGTATTAAATACATTAGGATACAGATTGTTTACCTGGTTCAGAAACAATAAGCTTTTTAATTTTAGGTAGTTACTGCCTACGTTTTTTTTAACTTGACTCCTTCAGAGTTGAGTGCATCACAGAACCAATTCTACACACACCAAAGGCAGAAACCCAGGAAAGCCTATTGCTCATAATAGCAGTGCATCTTCTAGTCTACAGAATACATAGGATATCTTGTATCCCAAGGCCATCTTCTAACAATCAAAGATGCAACAGAGATGACAGACTATCAGATAGAATATAGGTACCACACCAATGAACACAAGTATGAAATGCAAAGTATGTAAGTAAATCAAGATATGATGACTAACAGTAATAAAACAAATATTTACTTACTTGAGACCATTTCCATCATCAAAGAAAAAGTACTTTGACTTCATATCTTTTAAGGACAGCCTTGGGTTATCTCCTCTCAACATGATCTTGTCCCAAAGGACCACCTGATTTAGGGCCTAAAATCACAATTGTAATTAAGTCAGCAAGGTACTTTACCAGATCACATTCAGACACTGGACCTTCATTCTAAAACCCCTGAAGCACATGCTTGCAATCCATAATTAATTTGACAAAATAATGTTTCACAATGGGGTAATGTAATACTATTACTCGGTGATGTCTGTCATGGAATACATAGAAACAACAAGGAACATCTTAAAACACAAGAACGACTTTAAAAAGTCATATGCTTTAGAAGAATTACAAAGCATGAAGGGGTTTCCTTCTGAATTGCAAAGGTAAGTCACTTTTAAAGCAGTATTTAGACTTTATTTCAAATACAGGACTTAAATTGACCTATCATGACTCTTCTAACTTTAATGGAAATTTCTACTTGAATTGCAAGCAGAACCCCCCAAAAAATTATGAACAGTTGAAAAAGTGGTATCTGAAGTTCCTACATTACTGAAACTTTATCCTGTTCTTTTAGGTAGACACTAAACAGTCTTTTGTATTGAACAATTTAGAAAAATACTTCTCAGTATTTGTGAGAAGTGGTGATTTATGTAGAAACAAAATCTAAAATATGGAACAATACAATAAAATCACAGAAACCCTAAAAACTGTCCTAGTACAAACACAATATCCATCATCTTGTTTAATATAACTAAGGTACTTCAAAAAAAAAAACAAGAAAAAAAAGTTTTGTTCAGCAAGTTAAGAAAACCCCCAAGCTTTCACCAAATCCTTGCCATGTGACCACAGCAAGCAGCTTTTAATTTGAATTCAATGGTACCATGGCAGCATGGTTTTTCATTAAAGTAATTTATTTAAAGACTGTTTCACATAGCTTCTATCAGATTAGTAAAAAGGGTGTTCATCTATCCAAAGGTAGCTCAGCAGCAACTGCAGAAATTTAGAAAAAAAGTAAAATGGACAGAAAAGGTGAAAAAACTCATTTTCAGTATACTACCGTTAAGTATACTGCAACACAAGACGTGTTATTTTTCTCCCATTCCACTGGGCATATATCAAGTTAGGTTTCATGGAGGTGAACTTCCCAGCCCACAGTTAAACTGTCAAGAAAATAATGAGGAAGGCCAGTAAAAACAGCGAGGCTAATAGGAAATGCTGGTGGCTTTAACTCTTCTCAGCAGAACTACAGAATATTTAAAAATAGCTGCAGTACTAAAATGGGTAATTGCTTCAAACTTCTTTTTAATACTTACATTGTTTTTCGTTGAATATTCTGCAGACAAATATAGAAACAACTGCTTAACATTCCAATCAAATATACTCTGCAGATGTATGCAAGTTAAGAAAAATACCATACACTACTTACATAACCTTTTTTTATTTTTACTAGAGCCAAGTAGTTTATTATCATTACAGTGAGCTTTTACCTTTCAACATACCTCATCTTACTCATTAAATCTGAGCACTGCCAGCAATTTGAACACATTTTAATCATAACAAAATGACAGGTTTTTAAGTGGGTAATTTTTTTTTACTATTTATGAAATCTATCAGCTATTTCTCCTCCGATAATTTAAGAGTGCTATATTTGACACAGCAAGCTAGTAACCAGAATCCTCTCCTAGACAACCTAAAAAAAAAATAAAACCTTAAACGTAAAGGTCACGACAGAATTCTTCCATAAATATCCTCAAGGCAATTTTTTATACTAACAAAGAACCCTTGTATCCAAATACAATAATATTAAATAATATGTAAATACAAAATTAGTCAAGCGTAGGGAATTCAAAGAGTCCTTAATGCCTATATTAGAAAAATTAGAATATGGGAGTATTTCGTATTGGAAGAGACCCCTAAAAATTAGTAAATTCGATTCCCTATTGACTACAAAGCTCACTGGACTCGAACAAAACTCTGCTGAGATTTTTGATCAAGAGTAAAGAACTGATGACTGCCATTTGAGGCAGTATAATAATGCTGGGATTCTGTTTATTTAACAATAACGTGTGACTGCTAAGGAAAAGACTTTTTAAATTCACGAGAGATTAGCTGTAATATTTTATTTCCTAGTCCTCTTTTATATTCTATTTGCCATTATCTCAAAGAATAAATAGATTCCCTAACCAGCCTCAAAATCTGTTTTTTCTTCTTCCACTCGTCTTATGACAAACATATTTTTAAGCTATTAATTCATAGGGCAAGAAAGAAAAGAATTAAATATTTAACTGCTGTCACTGCAAGAATAGGTAGAAATATTTTACTTGAACATTTTTTGTCATTTAGCTCAAAATACTAAACAAGATCCTGAAGCTCTCCTTGACAGGATTTCTTATCACTTGCAAAAGTCAGCATTTAATTGAATAAGCTTAAAGGAGTTTGTGAAAACTCCTGTTTCCCTTTCCTTTGCCTAGTTCCTTTTTCTAACTGCCATTTTATTTAACTTCTCCCAGGACTAACAACTTCTTTCTGGTAGTTAAGACAGTCCATGTACCTGTATCATTTTACAAATTTTGAACAAAAAAGCCCACCAGACAGTTGCATTTTACAGCTCTAAATATTGCAAGCTTTATTTATGCCAGGCATGAGAGATTTAGTCAGAAATCCTAAAAAAAAAAAACTACTGTTGCTGGTAGAAGTCATTCAAACACGGAATCTTTATGCCCACACATTGCAGACTAATCCTTGTATAAGAACATTTCTTTTAGAGGTCCTGTCCTGCCTTGCTCTGCTTCTCTCCATGCACCATGTGTACAAGTCTATGCATCTACTTTAGAATTTCAGTTTCCCATTTTAGTATGTATAAGCTTTTCAGAGGTAAAACTCAGACTTAGGAGATCATCTCTCCTGCTCCCAGTTGATAAAAAAAAAAATCCTCTTATTCCTGTACAGACAGACCTGCAAAAATATGATTAGCCTGTTTATCCATGTTTGTATGAAGAGCTGTATTTTGTGTGATCTGCTCACACAACACAGTGTTCTTCAAAAGAGTGAAACCGAAACACAGACAGAATCAGTGTCCTGCCTAACAGTGAAAAAATCCAGCAGACAGGGAGAAAAATCCCAGGATTCTCAGACCAGCTGCAAAACATGGTTTAGTATAATCACCTGCACATGTCATCTATTATTTGGTACTGACTTCTACAGAAAAACGCTTTCTAGACCCTAAATCCAGACTAGCAGCGAAGCAAAGAAATAGAAAAGAAAAACTGCAAAACTGCAACAGCAATTGAGAAATAAGCCAAAAACCAATGTGATAATTTTTTTAGTAAATCATATGCTTCCCAATGAACTTCATACTAAATACTAAAGATTAGAGTGTTTAACATCTAAGCAAGTAAAGGATTACAATGCCCTTTTAGAAGACAAGTGCTTCTATGCAACTGTTATACAGTCAGCTTTGAAAGCCTCAAAACAAAATGAGTCTGAAAGGAGCAGTTCCTAGATTAGGTATGACTTTCAAAACAATATGCTATATAAACCCGACCATTAATTTACTCCTCAAACCACCGACACAAACTTCACTTAAAAGTAATAACGTCTAGATGTTAGACTGCCCTCTCCTGTATTAGAACCAGTGCACCTCACAATAGAACCTGATTTTAAAAAGAGGCATTAAACAACTTGTCATCTGCTAGAGACCAAACAGCTGGTTTAAGCTCTATTTCACTGCCATAGCTATGCAAAATACTATGTGTAGCTGCTTTAAATTTTTAAGACAAATTGCTAGTTTTCCCCAAGTCCCAAATATCTGACAATTATAAGGTAACAAAAATAGACATCAAAGTGCTCTTATTCCAAAAAGTCTGCAAACCATTTTTTCATTTAAGGATATCTGCAGTAATGTCAAACGTGACGAATCCCAGATCACTTCTTTCTCTAGGTCCAGTGAAGTCTTCTACATTTTTTCTAAGAGAAAACAAAACACAACACAAGATTATACTTTGTCATTATTTGTCTCTTATATATTACACGAATTATGGTTCTTATTAGATATTTCCCTCATCCATTTTCTGCATTTTGTTTTAAACACTCCTGGTTAAAATGTAATCAACATTACAAACTAACATCTACCTTCCAGAAATGACCGTGTCCCAATTTTAAATGTCAGGCCTTTCCACCACAGTGTCTGAGACATATAAATAGCCTATTGAGTTTTTCCTGTTAACAAGAATCTGTATCTAAGGTGGACTATATTTCATTTTAGTAAAATATGTTTTAGCATCCCCAAAAATGTAAAACTGATTGGGATACTATCAGTACAGCAGTCTTCTGGCAACCATTTTCAACTTTATTTCTAAACTATCCTTGAAAAAACAAAGCCTATCGTGCTCGGACCATTCAAATAAATCAGTTTACGTGCATAGTTCACACAGGTTTCAAGATTTATTCCTGTAATGTAATGTAATCCAGCATGGAGCAAATTGTTAGTTTCCTCTACATTCTGGAAAATGGTATCATTTTGGAAGGTTTTATTATAAATCTACACTTGGAACAGTATCTCATGTTGCCACACAAAACCACAACAGAAAGAGGAACCGGAAAATAACAGATATACAGCAGATATTTCCATATGTATTCATAAAGCTTATCCATTTACCCAACTTAATATCTACAAAGAGAAATACGATAAGCAATTAGCTATGAACCTTAATTGCCCATGGAACAAATTTTCTATGAATCATTAACCTCATAGTTATATTTATTCCAGTTGGGAAATTAGTCAATTAAAACATAATTTTATTAAAACTAAGTTTAGTAATCTCAAATTTTAAAAAAGTATACAAGTGAAGAAAACACTTTTGGAGATAGCAGTTAAGAAAAGCACCACCAAATCTTCCCAAATTAAGCCTCAGTATGACTTTCCATCCCTTTGCAAAAAGCAGCATCTTTTTAAGTAGCAAACCTTATCAAGCACTTGACCTCTTAACCACTTCCAGTCAGGTGGAGTAGCAGGCCTTAAGCTTGGGGTCTACAGTACTTCTCAGACATTCAAGAGAAGCAGGTTAGATATAACATCTCCCAGTAACACCAAATCTGTGCATCACAGAAGGGACTGGCAATACACATTTCACCCAAATTAGGCATTATTATGCTGCCTTATGTATACTGAGCTCACCATAACACTCAAAGACATGTTTTTATGCCAATTTTATGCTGTTGCAATCCTAAGTGTAGCATGAATACAGGTTGGGTTTTTTTTTTTCCTGTGGTATTAAACTAGTCTGAAAGGTGATGGCAGCCCCTTTATTTGCATTCATCTCTCCTCTCAAGTCCTGCTATTAGGCACCCACCGGTGCCTACCAACCTCCCTGACATGCACAGGGACACCTTCCACTAGATCAAGTTGTGCAGAGCTCCATCCAGCCTGGCACTAAACACTTCCAAAAGCTTTAGCTCCCTAATCTAGGCCAAAAACAACCAAATATGAGCTGAGTTAAAGCAGCTCAGTAAAGTGTCCTAAGAACCAGATTCCCCTGTGGAGCTCTGGTAAAGGACCACGTGGCAAAAACAAGAGCAAAGATTCCCTCCAGTCATTGGTGACTGTAACAGCTGCTCAAACGCTTGTGAAACTGCTGCCCTCCACATCACACATACTTAACTTAATGGAAGTTTTCTGTGACAAAGTCTCAGAGAAAAAAAAACAACACCCCGAACCAACACCAAAACTGGGGGAAAAAGGTCTCCCAGCACAAGTTTGCATCAGTACATTTTATGTGTAGGCAACATGTTTTGATGTGGCATTGTGTCCTACACCTGGTGCATTTCGCACAGAATAAGCCACCCCAAACACTTTGCTGCCATAGGACAGAAAGTACGCTAGGTTATCAGTGGAGAAACCCGAGAGAACTACTAATTAAAAGAAAAAGGTACTACGATCGGATAAATAAAGGTCCATAGAATAAACTCCGCGTTCGTGTAGGTCCCTCCACAGCTGCGGGCAGCAGCTGGCTCCGCTCCGCTCCCGGTGAGGCGCGGGGAGCGAGGCGGCCGCGCCGGTGCCCGAGCGCCGCCCCGGCTCCCGCCCGGCCGCGCCGTCGTGGGGCTCCCCCATTGGCCGGGCCGGCGGCGCAGGAGGCCGGGCCCGAGCGCCGCGCGAGGAGCCGGGGGGCGGCCGCCCCTGTGCCCTCACCCGCCCCGGCCCCTGCTCTCGGCTCCCGGCCCTCCACCTCCCCGGCGGGCAGCGGCTGCCGCCCGGTCCGGCCCTCCCCCGCCACTCCCTGCCCTCCCCCCGCCGCACTCACAGCGTGACCCGGGAGACGGCGATGCGGACGGGCACACTGCGCTCCTTGAAGGCGGTGGTGATGAAGCAGCCGAAGGTGAGCGCCGCCATCACGCTCAGCGAGAAGGCGAAGAGCGAGTTGGCCCGGGACAGCACCGTGTTCATCTCCCCACTGGGCCCGGCCGGGGCTGCGGCCGCTGCTCGGGCGGGGCGGGCGCGCGGACGCGGCAGGAAGCGGGCGGCGGCGGGCAAGGGGCGCGCGCGCGACCGCCGGCAGGGGGCGTGGCCTCGCCCGGCGGGGCGGGCTCCCGGCAGGCCACGCCCCCTTGCCCACCCCGGGCCCGCTTCCGCCAGGAGCTGGGCGGGGCCGGCGCCGCGCCCGGGCGAGCCATGGCGGCCGCGCTGGGGCCGGCGCCGCCGTGTGGGCTCGCTGCCCGCCTGCCGCCGCCGTGCTCCCAGGGCTCTCCTTCCTACAGGGGAGCTGGCACTTGTCGCTCTGAAGGATTTTTGCAGTGCAGTAAATCGTAAGTAAGTTTTAGGCGAATGCTTGTATTTTCACTTGATGTCTGTATCTTGCTTTCACTGGTACTGTGATTTGCTATTCCCTCCCTCGTTTCCTATAGGATGTTCCTATTCATTCACACCTTGTTGTTACACACATGCTCAGTGTGCCAATCTTCTTGCTTAGAAATTTCCTTTAGCAGCTGGGCATTTTCCTGGAATCCTCTTTTTTCCAGGTGATCTCACCCCGTTGGTAGGGTGAGGCTGCCTTCCACCTTACCCCACCAATTTGGTTGAAATTTCAATTTAAATTGGTACCAGCAAAAATCAGTTTATGTAGTGAGGTGATTCCTAACTCCTCCCGGGGGCCCCTATTTGGTGCCCATTCCTGCTTCCCGGACCTGGAGCGTTATCAATGTGAGAACCAAGGGGAATGAGAGCTTTTACCATGCTTTAGGGTCTTTTTTTTGGTGTTCCCCACCGCTATATTCGTCTTTATTAGCTATAGCAGGTCCGATTAACGGGGATATCTCGGGGCTGCCAACAGGTGTCAGCAGTGATTCAGTTATATTTAATTTGCTCTTCCCAGCCCTGGGGTTCCAGTGCTGCTAATACTGGGAGTAGGAACAGAATGCAGGATGTCTAAAAGGGTGGAAGGCCTCATGGTGACTGAAGGGATAGGGAGGAGAAGGTGGGGGCTGTCAGGCCATTCTGAAATACCTGTAATTATATATAAGTGCTGTTTCTTTTCCTACCTGTAGCCAAAAGCCAGCTCTGTGAATCAGGGAAGAAAAATCTTTGCTGATAAAGGTAGGAAATGGAAAAGGAAAAAGGTCATACTGAGGCTTGTTGCTTCCCCCCCGGACTGAGTACCTGCAGCACATGTCCGATTAGCCTGTAGGATGGGAAGGTACCTATGGAGACATTCCTTTGGGGACCCTGTGTTCCACTGTGCAGTTGGTTTCTGTGTGCCTGTGCATTTGCCACATTGAAATCAGTTACAGGCCCAAAGAGAGCAGGCTCTTTTCTGGTTTGCATTTCATAATTTTTGACCTTTCTGATATTTCATAAGAGTTTCAGCAGCACCGAGAGTTTCTTGTTTAAAGATTTTTGTTGGCTTGTTATTATTTTATGCTATTCAAAATAGTAATTATTGTGATGATTTATGGTCTGGAACTTGTTACTGAAACCTTGGATTACTCTTACTGAAAAGTACTTTTCTCCAAAAAGAGAAGACGTAAAAGCATTAAGGAAGCTTTAACTGTAAGAAAAGCTAGGGAACCTAATCATTTCAGAAGTCATAAAATGTCTGCTGCTTTCAAAAGGATAGTTCAAATGTGAACGCCATTTTTTTCTCGTATCTACAAAAAAAAAGGCTTAAATCACCTTTGTTCCTGCTTTTAGTTCATGTAGTTGCTACTTAAGAGTTTTTCTTACTAAACAGCTGTTTAATAAAAAAAATGACCGTTGGGCAGAACTTACAGGAATAAAGTAGTGAAATTTCCAAAGCAGTGGTTAGGTACCTGCAAAAGACCAAAATCAAAAGACTTAGCCAAATTCATGTTTTTAAGGCAATGAATAAATACGGCTATTGCTTGTGGAGGTTTGGATTTATTTTAGTAGAAACCTTAAATAAATGTCACTTAGAAGCCCAGTATGCAGTGGAAGAACAGATGGTGTAATTTATTCAACAACTGATCTATTACTGTTTCAGAATACAGAAACCTATAGGTTTTTAATGACTGACATCTTGCAAAATCAAAATAGGAAAAAATTTTGAAACAAGGCAGTTATGGAAGAAGGAGAGAGAATTATTCGCAATAGCTGTTTGTAAGTTTTAGAGTGTTCTTTGAAAGATAAAATCTGAAATTTTTTGAAGAACAGCGACATAATGTCAAAAGTTGCTGTCAGCTACATAAATTGTGTTGCTGGGGATTGAGCAAATACTATAATTATGGGAACAAAATTATAGGATCTTGGGGAAGCAGAAAAGTTTGGGAGTCCATTTCCAAGATGCAGTGGAATGGTATTCATTACACCCAAGCAGTGTCCTTAAGCCCAGACCAGCAGAACACAAGGCATGTCAGTGTTCAGGCTAGCTATTACTTCAAGAAATGTCGTATTTTTCATTACAAACTCATTGAAAAAAATGCAGAGATAGGATTGGCAGCAGGTCTGAAATGTAGAATTTGCCATCCTTCTCCAGTCCTTACCCTGAAATTATCTGACTTTGAAAATGAGTTTTTGTGCACTCTTTGATCTATTAAACATGTGTTCTTTTTTTATAGTGCCGGCACTTCAACAGGATTGATCCTTGTCAGCAGCTGATGATTAGTAGTCTTTTGAGAGAGAGTAGCTTGCTTTCTTTGGTTGACATGTTTCTACTCTGATCAAGTTCAAGTTACGGAGTGATTCCTTTCATCATCCATAAACAAAATAGCAAGTGTTGACACTGACCATCAACAGAGATTGCTATGAGTTCTTTGTTCTCCAGCTGAAGTCATATTGGTTCTAGCATGGCACACATAGATGGGAGCTTTGGGGTGTATGTTGTGAATTTCAAGGGAAAAGGAGGTGTTAACTTCAGCCCAGTACCTTTAGCCTTCTTGGGGCTTAATTCTGACTAATTTTACGGGTGAAAGTTTAGGTGCCTGTGGCATCTTTGTCTCCTAGATAGATGAGGACCATTTTTTTGATCTAGGGACATGTATGTACGTGCTGATTTTTTTACCATAAATGTCTAAATACTTTCTTGAATTTTTCCTTCATTAATTGCTGAAATGTTAATTCTTTAAGAGTCAGTAGCAGCATACAGCCTCTTAGGCAGCTCTGGGTAGGAAGATGAGATTAAAATAAATGTGGTCACGATCAGCTGTCTCTTGCAGCAGCCCCCTTTCAGTTAACACCTCTTCTGGCTGGCTCATTTTTACAGCTGGTGTGGAAAAGATGTGATGCAGAGAAGAGGCTTTTTGCACTGCATTTGAGTCTAATGTTCTTTTCACCTCCATTTTTTTAGCTTTGGATCTACACAGTATGTAGAATAAGAAGATCAGCAAGAAGAAATTTTCATTTGCCTTTGTAGTATTATTGTGAGTCGTTCAGCAAGAAAATCTCGGGGAATTTTTAATTTCTGATTTCAGAATGAAGTTGATATTTTACAACATTGTCTCATTTAGTGACATAATACATGGCAAAATAAAAACTGTATCACAGAGAGAAACAAATATTCTTGGCTCCAAAGTCAGTATATTTTGGAGCCTAATGCAGTTAATTTTTGGCTCCTGTGAGGTTTGCCCATTGCATAGGCTATGAAGCCAGGTTAGGTATATTCATTCAAACATTACTGATTTAGCTTAACCTTTCTCACTTCATTGTGCTTTGCATTCTGGGGAATAAGCTCGAGTGCTACTGATCCACCTTGCCCAGGTTTTAACCTCATTCACTCAGCCAGTTGCAAGTCTTCATCACAAGATATTTTTATGTCTCTTGTAAAAGCACCAAGCAGAGACTTGTCATACCTCAGCCTCAAGAAAAAGATGTTTTACTAGCTCTGTCACGGTGATATCATTTAACCAATACCAATTTTAGTGGATGGAGAAAGCCTTTCTGTTATGAATGCTAGTCATGGGAGTCAGCACATAATGACATAAGCTTACAGAATAAACTTTTAACTCTGATCTCTACTACTGAGTGTGTAATTTCCTTTTATTAACAGCATTATTAGGCACCAAAATATGCTTTACACAGTAAGAAGAAAAATTAAACCACTTAACCACTTCTACTTAGTCAAGAAGAAAACCTGACAAAGTTTGAAGAAAGGGGGAATAAAACTAAACAGATAATTTCACTGTTTCTAGAAAAAGAAATTTTGAAGAGAAAAGTTAAACGGTTAAAGAAAAATTTAAAGACAGCCTATAACAGAATAAAATTAACAGTTTTGAAAGGAATTCAAATTGATGACAAAAGATTCACAGCTCAAGTATTGTTTTTATTTAGAGGCATCTATTTAATAAGAACCTGTGACATTTTAGCGTTCATTGAGGAAAAGATTAAAAACTGCAAAAAAATGCTAAGTTTAGTTACATGAATTTAGATTAATAAGGTGGTTGCACTGCCTACTATAGAAATAGCAAAGTTAGTTTCTCAAGCTAGTTGAAATACCAAAAGCATAGCTCCTGTGGTACCACAATCCTAAGGAAGAGGTTGAATTAGTTGCCAAAGAGGGAATCTCTGTTCTGTAGACATGGTTGGCAGTGAAAGAAATCGCTTCGACCCAAGAGAGGAACTATGCAAAGGGAAACAGGTGCAAAATGAGGAGATTCTTCCCAAGATTTACTGATACAGCTGTACATAAGGCCATCAAAAATTATGCCTAAATATCCTTACGAAGAGGCAGCATGCATGTGCATTTTGACATCCCTGTCCCCTCATAGTTTGCTACAACTTTTGCTAGGGGGTCATTTGCCCTGGCGCAGAATGGGTTGTAGGGGATGGGTGTGAGTGGTTTTTTCAGTGTAAAGTCCAACAGGTTACTTTTAACTTACTGGCAGTTTAAATTGCCAGATTTTGAACTGAGGAGTGTACCAATACACATTCCTTCCTGTTGATTTCCAGGAAGGGAGAGAGACGGGCAGGAACATTTAGCTGAGGAATGGAATGGACAACTGGAGGTGGTAACTTTTTAAACTTCTGGGGGGCAAGAATTGCTAGAGTTTGTCTGTCAGCAGGCTGTGTGTGCCTGCTGTCTGACACGTTTCTGGGTTTAGTAATGTCTCTAAGTACACACATGACTTATTTTGGAATCTTCTGTAATACTCTTAATAGTTGAGTTATGTTAGGTATCCAAAGAGGTCTGCAACAAATACTGTAAATAAACTTACTGTGTTTCTAGCAGAACTCAGATTTAATTTACTTGTAAGCTTGTTGGTCATACCTACTTCCCTTCTGGGTAGAACTTAGCTGTCAGTGATTAGATGTACTGGTTAAGCACATCAAGCATGTTCATGTGATAATGTGACAGCAGAATTGGTTGATACCAGACTTGTAGCTGAAGGGGTATCTGTCCCCATTGTGAGAAGCAGCTCTCCAGTGGTGCATAACAAAGGGATACAGATTTAATATTACTATGTTATTTTTTCATGAACTGAGAAAGCAAGCTAGAATTTCATAATCACTTAAGTATCTGAGTTACTTTGTATGCTTTTAAATACATGTTGTATGGAGAATGTCAGTTATGTGCAGAGATACTGATTGATATTTAATCCCTGACCAGTAATTCTATTCTTTGGAAATCCAGCCTTAAAAGTCTGTAAACTAGAATTACTTTCTAAGATAGAAGTAGTATTTTCAACTGCTAGGAAAGGCAGAATACCTCAAATATACCATTTTGAATTCATTAAGAGCAGTAGAATAAGCAATCTTTTCATGATGTTAATTTAAAAATGAAAGGTTGCATCATTCAAGTACTCAAATAACGTGATTTGTATAGACCCTAAACTGTGTCAGACCAATGATTGTAATACACTGGAGGAAAAACTACCACCATACTGCCCAAAGGCATAAATTTGAACTTTCTAGAGCAATTCAAGAACTGGTGGAAATAATGTGCTACACCAAAATACAGAGAGAAAGTATACATGTTACAAAACTTTTATAAATTTTTGTGCATTAAAGCTCTTTTAAAGGAACTGTTGTGCTTCATTCTTAAAGAAGACAAATGGTGTCTAAATATCTAACTGTTTAGTAGTGGGTGTCAATAGCCAGAGCTCAACTATGAGGAGAAGTGTTTTAAGACACTCATTTTTCCCTGTTGTGCCACTAAAGATGTCATTGCGCTGCATTTTCAAACAGATTTTTAGTTAAAGTCTTTGGTTAGGTTATTAGGCTATTGGCAGGGATTATGAGAACTGCAGAAATCGAATAAAACATAACTTTGGTTGTGAGTTGTAACTTCATGCTGTATGGTTTGTGTAGATCCTGGATAGACATGGCATTCAGGAAGAAAAGCTGTCAAAAGGAGATAGGAACCTTTCATTTGTTTGGAGTGTTGTGTCTGATACAATTAGCAACACAACTCTCAGGTGTTTGTGCTGATAGAATGGCTTTGTCGTGATGCTCAAGTAATTCTGTAGAATTCTTAAGGATAGCAAGGGGGTGCAGTGAAAAAGCAGTTCAGATCTAACCCAAGTTTCGTCTTTTCTGGATGAGAAAGTTTGTGTTCTCTCATTTTTTGTCTTTTCATTCCCCAAAACAGTAGCACAGAGTCTGTACTTCAGCCACCTCTTCATTTTTTACAAAGAATAGTTTTGGGTTGTGCTAATGGGCTTGAGTTCCTGTTTAGAAAAGGACACAGCAGCTGCTTGATGTTTTCCAGTCAATCCAGCTTTTGAATTTCTTGTAGCTCTCAGGTAAATTGACTTGTTTGGGTTTATTCTCTGTGCCTAAGCATAAATGCATAATATCCTTAAGAATTATATTAATGAAAAGAACATTTAATACTTTTTGAAGATTGTTTTATGGTACGTATGCCTTTTTTTGTCTTCAATCCAATGTTAAGGTAACATTTTGCATCATGAGGAAATAAATTTTAAAATATTTCCTCTGAATCTAGATTTCTTCAGTTCAAATGCTTTAAATATAAAATAGGAAAAGAGTGCTGAACATAGATCAAAGAGGAAATGACATAACATTCAGTAGCTTTAGATAAGTAGGCAAAATTTTTAGGAGTAGCATCTCATACACTCATTAAAATACAAATCAGCTGGTCACTAAGCAGGTAATTTTCATGCTGAGTTAGACATTTCCTTTTCAATAGCTCATACTTCTCCTTTGAGTCCTTAATGAAGCATTGTATGCTTACATCAGAAACTCAGTAATAAAACTTGATTTTTTTACTGATTTTGTTTTAAAATCTTTGTTTCAAGGGCATTGCTTTACAAATTTCTCCTTTTTGGTTGCCTCTGATGTATAAAATAATAAATTCTTCGAGGAGTTCCTGTTCCTCTGCCTGGTATCTTAAAATCTTCTCTTATAACTGTTATTAGACAAGTTTCAGAACCAGGATGACTATCAACTTCTTGTGTGTATTTAGCTGTCTCTTACATGTGGAGAAAGACATGCAGATGAAGTGTCATACAAATAATTCCTTGTACTGTATTTCATCTTTATCTCATTTTTTAAAATAAACATTTTCACTTTCAGACATTTATATGCATCTCCAAATTACAGAAGAAAACTGTTAAGACTAACTGTAATGGAATTTGTGCTATGAAAATAATTACTCTTTTACATATTCTATCATTTACTTTAAAAAATATAAATAGAAGGAAGTATGCTTTCCAAAAGTAACAACACAGCATGTGCTACAAATAATTCATATTTCTAAGGGTTTTATGGTCTTTGATGTTAAAAAAAATGCCTTCAAAGACTAAATATTCTATCAGTTGTTTTAATTTTTCTTACTAATCTTGCCTTACTGAAAATTAAACACACCCGCCTTCAAAAGCATAGATGAAAAATTGCCAGAAAAAAATAGTTTATGAATGTGGTTATGTAATTAATCATAGATGATAGAGCACAGGTTTGTTTGTTGGTTGGTTGTTTCCAAAAATTACTTTGTTAGGTTGAGGGTAGATTGTATACCAGATTTTAGACAGTTTGAACTAGCAGAAACAAGTGCCACTGCTAAATACTTTCTTTCTGCACTTGGCTGCTACAGAGCAAAGCATTAAAGGCCAGGCTACTTTGTCTGAGCTCTGGAGTTTGAAATGAATCACTTTATAGTCATTATAAACAGCAGTATTGCTGTCTTGATTATACAGATTATGTTCTTGACAAATGATAACTGACCAAGCTACATTGAAAGGGAACTCTAATACCATAAATTCCAGCATTTGAAGTTTCTTTAAGTGGTTTTAAAATTTTTAATTGCCAGAAATGGGGAAGCATATCAAAGGAATCATTACATTGTCCTTGTTTTATTTGCTGGAACTGTGCTAGTATGTCAAGGTAAGTGTATTCTTGTCTGCCACAGTATTACTACATTCTTAAACAGAATAAAAATCCAAATATTGTTAATCTGCAATGTGGCTTGTTGCCATTTTCTTGTGTGCTATGATAAAACTCTAAATGCTAAAATAATTTTGCAGCCTATTTTTTCTGTTGACATTAAGTGAATGAACAGTCAGGATTTCATTTTATTTAGGTTTGTAATCTGAATTTTGTATTAACATAAGAATTATTAAATACCTAATTAGTTACTCTTTTTACCAGGATATCTGAGTGGTTTTTTAACAGCAATGAAATTATCTTCAGAATACTCCCCATTTTACTAATGAGGAAATGAGGCCAAGAAATTTCATTCCCAAAAGTCAAAACTACATGGGAAATGCAAATATCCAGATTAAGCCACTGCTCTTTTCAAGTGTTTTGATATCTTTATAATGTTGTACATTTGTTACATATGGTGCATTTCCATTTGGAAGCTCTCATTATTCTGCAGTGATGCAAGATCTGACTCCAGTTACTTCACACTGCCATGCAATAGAAAATTTGGGACACTTAAGTCCCACTTTTTTCCACTCCTTCGTGGCATCGCATTGACCGTCAGATCCTTTATTTAATTACCTATGCTTCTATTTTCTGGTTTCCATTACAACAGCTGTAGCTTTGTGTTTCTGGTTTTCCCAGTTTGCAAGGGCTTCCTCTCAGCTGCACCATGTGTTCAGATCTCAGCATTCACGTTGTTGGTTCTCCCAAAATGCCGTGTGGGCGTTAACTTCTAAGCAGTTGCTCAGTTTTCATGACTGGCTGCCTCATAGCATGGCTCTGCCAACTAGCTGTAATGGTTGGTAATTTCTGAAGCACTTTAGAACCCTTAGATTAGGATAGACTTGGTTCTGTGCAGTTGGGAGAGTTTCCAGCTAAGCTGACACGTAAGAGTTATAGAGCTCTAAAAAAAAGAGGAAACATGAGAGTAATTTTGCCAGCTTCTGATGAGTATGTGTGAACTGGAATTCTCAAAACTCATGATTTCTTATAGTTTTTCATCCTTATATAGTTTATTACTGATGAGGGAAATTTTTGAAAGGACACAAGGCAAGTTTTGATACAGGAATAACCTTCCTGTTCAATTTTCATGTTCCTAAAAACAGTTTTACAAATCCATGAGTTTATCTGAAAACTCGCTTACAAAATACTGAATGCATATTAGCCTTATTGCTGAAGTTTTAAATTTACTTTTTTTGAACCTTAACAGAAGAATTCAGCTTGAAGAAAACTAACAATTGAGAAATTTATTTTGTGATTTATCTACTGCAGTTAAAAGAAGCAGGAAGCAGTATTGTAAGGGGGAGATGAATTCTGAGCATTGCTAACTTCTAACTGCTAACTTCTGCTCTTATTTATGGTAATTGCTATTTGGAGTTTTGCCTCTACAAAGATTCATTGTTCATTAACAAAATGTGAGAGAAGTCCAGATGAGAAAGCAGGTACTAGATGGCAAAATATGAAAAAAATAATAAAGGGTCAGGTAAAACACTGTACAGAAGAAAAAGCTTTCCATACCATAATTATGTTTTTTCCTTGATCTGCATGGCAAATTTGTAAAAGAAGTCCATAAGATGGCTGGGGAATTCTGTGGACTGATCAAGTTAACCTTAATAATATTAGTACAAATATGGAAGAAATAAGAAAATCCAATATTGAGTGTATTACTAATGAAAATACCATTTCCATTAATGACTGGAACAGAAATTGGCAGTGATAGCTCAGAACATAATGCCTTTTATACTTGTGGAAAACATGACACCTCAATTCAGTGTCAGATAACAATGTGCCAAATATAAAAAGGGATTTTCATTTGGCATTTTAAGTACTCATTCCCGCTTCTAATAATGGTATGAGGAAAGCAGTTCCTATTCTGGCTGGATGAGAAAATGTCTATAAATGAAATTTAGTAAAAAATTACGTTTTTTTTTTTTTACCAACTAATATAGTTTACAGTGTAAACTCCTTTTTAATTGCCTTTTCTTGTTATGATTGATATTTAAGTGGATTAATTATTTTCAAAGGAAAATACCTAATGCCTGTTTCTCACAAGATAAGGACAATTCACTTCCTGTCCATTAAAAATCTTGATATTTATTTCCAAGAGCATTTCCATTTATCATTGTCTCTTCTTTGTTAAATAGGTTTATTTGAATTTAGTTTCCGTAAAACATTATAGCTTCTTACTTTAATAAATTACTCCAAGAGTCTGATGATAAGAAGTGCCTTATTGTTTCCACTTTCCTTTTAGAAATACGGTTTTGTATTATAGTGCTTAATATCTGCTGTTCTGTTCATTGAAGTCAGGGTGATCTGTGGATGCAGTGACATTTGGATCATACCCTTTTTTTCTGAGGGACAGTTGCCAACATTCTAAAATGTTTTTTTTTTTTTCTAATCACCAAACAAGAGAGTCCAGTGTAGAATAGAAAGGTTTAGGATCACTTTGAGTAGAGTATTTTAAGTTATAATTCAAGAAACTGATTTTTAATTTAGAAGGAAATATAAAAGTTTAGAGCAGGACTCTTTCTTGTGCTGCCATGGTTCTGTTCTTTAGGATTATAGTTCACTTAGAAATCTGTTTCTGTCGTGCAGCTCCTCAGTTTGAATCATCTTGCAACTCAGCAATTTACTGAGCAATTACTCACACTAATGGAACAACTTGTGAGTGACTGCTGATGACTCTGAGTAATAGCTTTATGGTATAAAAGCAAATTCATTCTTAAAAAGTCGGAGGAATTTAGATTCTTCTGTCTAAAACTGGCCAACAAATAAAGCCTGTCATGTCATAGGTTTAAAATAATATGATGCAGCACAATGAAATACATATCAAAACTATTAGAAATTTTCCATGTTGTATATTTACCATTGCATTTTAATTAATTTAATTTTAGATGCTCCAGGTCTTATGCATAAAAATATCTAGATGTTTGATTCGTATCACCTGCCTTGATACTGTTTTTTGTATAGTGCTAAAATCTTTGTATACTAGATACTTTCATTCAGCCTGAGCAAAATAATGAGAGACTGCCAAAACTGACATATATTAAATCTCTGTTTATTTATTAATGTTTATGTCAATTATTTACTGATATGATTCTAGTTTTTTAAGGAAAGATATTAGTCTGACATAAAATGAAATATCAGAAAAGAGCTGTTGTACTTAAGCAGGAGGAGAACATATTTTAGCAAAAACAGATTATCTGGGTTATGTGGTTTAGTACATGAATTCCAGGGGCTTATAATAATACTTCTGCAAATGTATTTTAAACATGTAAATAAATAAATTAGAAATGCAGAATTTGGAATGCAACAGACCTTTTAAGTGGAACAAGTACAATCCAGGATCCTGGAACCTGCTGTCCCACGTGAATACCACTGGGCTAGCGAGAGCGGTACTGAACTCAGTACTATGTACAGTATAAATAATCGTCATATTTTGAGCAGCAGGCATCATGACCAGATGATATTT